AGATATTTCAATTAAAAAGTATTTTTTTGATCAATATGATTGGCTTTGTAAAAAAAATATCACATCTAGCTCCTATCAAATCTATGATAAATTTAAGGACAAACATTTCTTATTTTGATTTGAAAACTGTTCAAGTTTGTATTATTACAGTCCTTTGAACACTCTTTCATTTGTATACACATGGTATACACTGTATAACCTTGTGATATTTGACATTTGCATTTACGAATCTTTACAGAATGATCCGCTGTCATTACAAGGAATTTATTTTCCCTCGGTCATACTTGATGATATATTGAATTTGATCGGTTTTAAAGGTATTTCATCTGGAATTATATGTCAGCAGTTCCATTAAGCATAACATACGCACTTGATAATGGTGCAGTATTCCTTTAATCTTATCTTGTCCCGTGTGATGTTGTTGTTTGTATTAGATGGGCGTTGTGAACACAACAAAAAAATAAAAGCATAGGAATTATCATTAAAATCTCTGATTTTGCTGTATTATTCATGCTTAATTCTGTTCCTTAGAAGTCGTGTTTATCAGCCTTATAGCATTGACAGAAATTCCAAACATCTCGTTATTCACGACTTTGTCCTTAGAGTGTATCTATTATTCGAGAACTTCAAAAGAATAGTTCGTCTTAATATAGCTGATGCATAGCGTTAAAATCTTAATCCTAAGTATGATATATTAATTTTGCAAAAGACATCTTATTTAAAGACAGAATACACGAAGACAACTACTAGCGTTTTTTATGATACCGTGTTCCATGGTAACCTTTAAGGTCCATTGATTTATTATTACGAGAAATAACTCTTATCTGGTTTAAAGGTCTATAAATGTTTTGAAAAATCGTCATTGTAATTTTTTTCAGCAACTTATGCAACAAAAGCTTTAATAAAATTGTTTGCGTAATAATTCTAAACCAATTTTTTTAATTCAAATTCTGACCGACTTTTTATTTAACTTATGGTATGGCAATTATCAACACTGAATTGTCGACGGTTTTCCCATTATTCCCCGATCATAACATGGAGCACACGGCGGGTGTGACCGGTCGGCAGGGGATGTTCACTCCTCCATTGCACCTGATCCCAGCTCTGATGTTTTGGAGGTCCGTGTTTGCTCTACTTTAAATTGACTTTTAATGGACTTTTAAGCTTGAATACTGTTCGTTATCTCGAAATATTTCATTTTAGAGTCATATACGGTAAAGCAATTTATCTAATTGAACAGATCTGGAGAGATTTTCCTTGCTTTGGACAGGACTAATTTATAACAAAATTCTTTGTGTCCAATCTCAAAAAATATGGTATTTGGAGGGTCTTTCTTTATAAAATAATGAGTTAAAAAGTAAAAATAAAAATCGTGGGTTTTTAGAAAGGACATTTTTACTGCGTCATCAACATAGCTTAGGACTATAGATAGGTATTCTTATTTGATTAAAAACGGATTAAATGTCGTCGACGAATATATAAAAGTTGAATTAAGGGTCTCACAGAGAGACCTCTTTTTAAAATGGTTTCAAAAACATTCTTTAAATGGTTTTCAATAATTATATTCTTATAGATACAAATATACGTCTTCTTAAAAAGAGATACAATTAGAATTTGGGAATTGCAATGCATCGTAGGAGGACTTTATTTCCAAAATTTATATTAAAATTGCCAATTAGAAACTCGTCGTCTTTGAATATCAAATTCGGAATACTTCCGTGTAGCATATCATTGTTTTAACAAAAAAAATTGTGTATGACCAATGACAAGGTAACTAAAATAAAAATTAATGATCTACATTTCCTTTCAAAACGCAGCTGTCTATATGACTCAAATAAGCATGAACTGTAGTTTCTCTTGAGGATATTACTTAGAATGTTGAAAATTACGTTTTGAAATGCTTGGTTTTGGTAAATTTGTAGTTTAAAATTTTATAAGATTTTTCAATTATCCGCTCCAATTTAAATAATTTCTTAAATTTATATTGTCGCACAGTACTTTCCAACTTTCTCCTAACTGCTGTTGATATTTTAATGAAGAGTCAAGAAAATAGGATTGATATAACCCTGATGACGGATTTTTCCGTTATTTCCCGATCATGACAAAGAGCGAACAGCGGTTGTGACCGGTCAGCAGGGGATGCTCACTCCTCCATGGCACCTGATCCCACCTCTGGTGTTTCGGAGGCCTGTGTTTGCTATGCTCCTATTTTGTATTGTTTTATGGACTTTGATTATTGAATACTGTTCGTTATCTCCACATCCCTCCTTACTAAAATCTGCTATCATGTATCTTTGTTTCTTTGTTGATTTTTATGTAGTTTATAGATCTTTCGGCAGAGGATGCTTACTCCTCCATGGCATCTGATCCATGTTTTTGAGGTCCGTGTTTGCTGTGCTCCTATTTTGTATAGTTTTGTGGACTTATAATAATGAATACTGTTTTTTTATCTCCATATCCTTCATCATATACATGCAGACAAAGTCGTTCAAATTTGATTTAATTGTTAGAAATATAAAATATATTCAATACTGATATGATTTTGAATTTTAAAAGATGTTTTCTACTTATAAAGAACACTGTGAGCATAGAACATAAGAAAGATTACTTTGTGCAAATTTTAAGCTATTATTTTCTTCTCCAAAAAATATTGAGCATTTACAGTGTAATGTCATGATGTGAAAAATATTAAATACACTGTGTAAAGACAACAAACAGTTTTCCAGCTCAAAGATTCACAGAACAATACAAATCAGAGGCAGGAGAAATACGGACCTCCAAAAACACCAGGTGCTGCAGTAGAGGGGAATATTATATAATCTATATATATTCCCTATATAATCAGGGCATCAACTATATTTGGAAAGGCGGGGTGGTTTGCATAATGGTCGAAATTGCTTGTAGTCATTTTTTAAAAAATTTAATCTTATTTGTCAAAATATTAATTTACACTATGGAAATCTCTTGAAAAAATCTAAATATTTTAAGAATCAGCAAACAATAAAATGATTTTTTTATTTTTTCTACACGGTCACGATTGTCAAGTGGTAGGACGCACATTTCGTGATCAGGAGAATGAGTTTGATTCTCGTTCTTCGTAAAGTTCGTAAATGTTCTTTCGCCAAGCGATAGGCACGAAAAGTGAGAATCATGGGTCTTTCCAAAGCTATCTTAAAAATTGAGGACCCGTGTCGCGGTATGCCTAACCCCCTCTGCTGAAAATCTCGAAGTGGCGAGCAAAGGTCTAAAGGAGCCCTCAACTGTAGTTAAAAATCCTCGTTTTGGGACGTTAAACAACATACAAATAAAGACCTTAATCGATACTCACATACATCTTTTGTTTAAAACAAAGCATTTGTAGATATATAATCATAAAAAAAAATGTATTTACTTAATTAAACATTCAAAACACTCTGAAACATATGAAGGAGACAAAACTTAACCAATCAAAGGGAGACTGAAACATCCTGAAAAATTCAAATTATAGAACCTACAGCTGGCGTATATGTTTTATCATTATCAGTATTCAATTCTTTAATGTGAATGAAGAAATTTAAACCATGTCCAGGACATAAAATAAAACCCTTAATCTCAATAGCTGATTTTGGCAATTCAATTTTTGGTATACTCAAAACTAACACTTATTTGTAGAGTTGATGTTACAAAATTCTAGCTATATATAGCACAAATAGAAGTTTTAGCATTTCACAGACTGTCAGTAGGACTGTAATAATTCGTATTATTATTCGCAGACATTCGGATAACAGAGTTGGCTGATAAAATTTCTGAATGGATAGGGACTCTAGGGATTTATTTCAAATAAAACTCTCTGACAATTTAATCGACAGCATTTATCATAACAGACTAGTATTTTCTCCATTGCGAGTTTATAAATCAAATCTAAAAACGTCAACTATAAACAAAGCTTCTATTTTATAATTTTTTTTTAAAATTTTTAGCTATAAATCAATAATGAAAAAGAAAACAGCAACAATAAAATAATTTAAAAAAAAAACCAAACAAACAAACCAAAAAAAAACAAAACAAAACAAAAAAAAAAACAAAAACAAAAACAAACAAACAAACAAACAAACAAAAAAGAAAAAACAAAACAAAACAAAATAGAAAAAAATAAAACAACAACAACAACAACAACGCTAACTTGATTGTGAAATATGAGGCGAATTTATATAAAATTTTAAAGTCTAAAGCTTTGCAACTTGTTTTCTTGGTTATAATGTCTGAAATCATATTAATGGGGAGAAACGGAATTTATTGTGTCGTATTGCACTGATAAAAACGACAGGGGAATACTGTAATACCTGCATTATGTACTTCTTAGTAATATATTATATTAATTATTTCGAAATGGTAATGGCCGGTACGAAATGTATAGACTATAATTTACTAAGTTCTTGTTGAAAAAACATGCTCGAGTAATACTATTCAATATGATTGTGTTTAATTAAGTTCGAATATATATACTTTCCACATTATAAACTTCTTAACTGCAAAAATCGAAATTGTGATTACGAGGACTTCTTATAGATATTTCGGACTAAAACCAAATGGTACAATGTGTTTACTAACTCCAGGAAATAAATGAAATAACGTTTTAAATATTTTGATAAACACCCTTTTTATATTTGCTTTAAACAAAATATGTCTCTCTCTTCTCTTAAAAATGAGCACAACACTTGACGACTGAAGATTCGAAAATTATTAATTATTATAACTCATAGTTAAAATAAACTGGATAACGTGGAGTACCCATTATTGCTAAAAAAAAACACACACACACATGGGTACTCGCACATTATACGATGCACTTTTAAATTTATATTATTCTGAAATCATAAAAGTCCGATACTCTTATCACTAAAAAAATTAAAAAAAAAAAAAATTAAAATTAAAAAAAAAAAAAATAAAAAAAGAAGAAAAAAAAAAAAAAAAAAAAAAAAAAAAAAAATTAAAAACAGAGATATTAAAATATGACTTACCTGTGGTTAGTAGAAGCACTTCGGGAGTGTGAATAACACCGTTATCCTAGATTATTCTCAGAATCAATGAACGAGCCGCGCTCTACGTCTCTCTGAACATCAAAAAGCTTTCATCTATCTAACACAGAGCCTCGGCTCTCAGGAGCTCAATCCGCCAGTATCAAACAAATATTCTTGTTAATGGCGCAACAGTCTTTTTAATATTACGTCTTCCTCAATAGATTCCAGCATAAACAAATCTGTGGATGAGGCAGGGTATTGCGTCCATTATAACTAAGTCTCATGAACTTGAAATTTACGTTAGCGCTGTCGGGGACCTTATTTGATGACGAAATTCATTTATTCAAAATCTTTTCACGATTACTAGTTGATATGATGTTGTGAAATCTAAGAGCTATAGATTTATTTTTTCAAATCATGCTGTTTCATCTGGATTCTCATTACAATGAAAAACATTGGTTAGCCGTTTTTTTTTCCGAAAAAAAAATTATATCAAAATTCCTTAAAATGTTATATAAAATCAATAAAATGATATTCCCTTTTTCCTCTTACCGTTTTCAGGTAAAATTGCCAAAATTCCTTTGACACTTCTTTACTAATGGTTCGTTGTTTCCCCTAAAAATAAAAAAGAAAGTGCTAAAGTTTTCAATTTCGAAAATAATTTACTGAAAAATACATATAAAAACCAAATAAAACCAAGACAATAACAGGAGGTAAAAGAATTTAAGCTCCGTGGTCGGAAACTAATCTTTAGGACATGTTTTCTTCATATAAGTTGGGTATTGAGTGTACATCATGCCCTTTTCAGTGAAAGAAAGATTAAACGGTACAGTTTTAACGGTTGTACTTCTGAAAAATTCGTGGATTTCTCTTGTTTCATTATAAACAAATTATGAAGCTGGACCCAGGATTTTTGAAGGTATCAATTAACTCTAAAATTTCTAAAACTGTCCTTTGAGCATGGGAAACGGCGTCTTTTCTAGGGCATATTAGTCGTTAATTAAACGAAACAAAATCTAACGTAGGGTACCAGAACATCTCAGCCCGTTAACACAATCGAGGAATAAGTACCAGGAACTGCGATTTTAAGTTAGAATATAACATTAGCTTTACTCTATGCACATTTGAAATGTCATTTAAGATATCCTTTAAAGCTTTAATCCTCTTATACATGTTGGATAATTTTAAGATTTAGCTTTATATAGCACTGGTCACCTTCAAGGTAACGTGAGGGGAAAAGGGCACTATAGGATCTGCACCTTCGGTTTTATATTTATCTGCACCTTCGGTTTTATATTTGTTTATTTTATCTATTTCTAACAATAATGACCATCTATAACTAAAATAAATGTGACAAACAGCTTTCTTATATTAATTTTCCTTATTTATGTTTTAATATTCCTTTTTCATCTGCATATGGTGTTTACGTACCCCAACTTATTCGATACTCTCGAGCATGTGTTGAGATCGATCCATTTTTTTTACCTAGGCAAGCCACTGACGTGTAGATGAGTTGAGATTTCCGAAAAAAAAAACCTCGTTCAAAATCAGCATTTTGTAGATGGAACTAAGATTTTTTTTTTTACATGGAGGATATGGAGATAACGAACAGTATTCAATATCAAAGTCCATATAACAATACAAAATTTGAGCAGAGCAAACACAGACCTCCAGAGATGGGATCAGGTTCCATGAAGGAGTGAGCATCCCCTGCTGACCGGTCACACCCGCCGTGCGCTCCTTGTCATGATCGGAAAATTACGGAAATATCCATTGTCAATTCAGTGTATAAAAATGGACTAAGAATCAGTATGAAAAACGTCCGTCAGCATTTGACTCAATGATAAATTGTAGTTGCTGACAAGGTCATTTACGACTAAAGAACTTACGAAATGATGACTTTTAACGAGTCTTGTTTCATCAACTTATTTCTCAATAATTTATCTCGTTTTAGAAGTTGTTCATACGTAGAACATGCTCCAGATATAAACGCCGTATGCAGGTGATTAAGGCATATTGCTGCATAAATAAGGGAAGTTGACGATAAAAAAGTTAAAGTCATCACGTTTATGGTACTGCTTGGTTGTTAGATTACCATTAGCGTCTTTTTCAAGTAAAATAGCACGTATGAAATAGATGTGTCAGACTCTGTGGTATCTTTTATCTCAATCTTACCGGGATATTGAATGGAAATTACCATTGTTAATTGACAAAACATCGTCAATATATCTAAATGTTGAGTTGAAGGCAAAGGCAAGTATTTTCTTCTTTTCACGCATAAGATTTTGCACAAATTCTGCTTCATATGAATACAAATATAGGTCTGCTAATAACGAAGCGCAATTGGTACAAATGGGAATTCCAATAGATTGTTGGAAGACCTGGTCTCCAAAAACCACATAGATATTGTCAATCAGAAACTCAAGCATCTTCTTTTATACCAACGTCAGAGTACTTGTGTGTGCAATCGGAATGTGTTTTAACAAAATAATTTTGCAAATGACCAATGACACAAAGTAAGTAGATTAGGAGTTTCAGCTTTATTAAAAAAGCAGCTGTCAATGATATCACAAAGCCTGGACTTAGTTTTTAAGCTGTTGATTTTGGTAAAATCTTATGATTTCAAATTGCTCAAAAGCTCTATTGATTTTTTGAGTATCTACATCTGATTCACACCACTTCTTGAATATATTGTTGCACAATACTCTTGAAGTTTTTCCTTCACTACTGCCAATATCTTAGTGAGGAGTAAAGAAAGAGGCTTGGTTGAACATTTACTGGAACCCGCATTGTATCTTTGTTTTTAAAGATTCTTATGAAGTTTCGTAAGTCAATATAAAACTAGTGCTAATTGTAACGGGAACCGTTACAGATGTTCCCCAAACGCTCCCCAACTCCCTTCTCGTGCCATATTCCCTGTAAGTTTCATTAAAGAAGGCAAAATCTATGCATTTAAGACGTAAACAACGTTTTTCCAAAAGTATACCAAGTATTTCAAATTTAAGCAATGCAGTCGTGCGCATGTAATTGCATGAGCGTAATGACGATATCATCTTGTCTACACTATTTTTCTCATTTGCACGTGCACGCACGTGCATGATGACCATACCTTCTTGTAGGAGTCCATTATGTCTGTCTATGTTCTTAATCCCATCCTGTTTGGTTGAAAAACAAGGGAGTTATAGCCATTTAAAGTTTAAGCCAATCAGATTGCAGCACACGCGCATGCGCGTATTTTCATGACAATTATTATATATCATATTGTAGGACATCTTAAAGTATGCTTATGTTTTAAATTTCAAAGCATTTTGTAAAAAAACAGAAAAGATATTGAGATTTTTGTGTCAACCAATCAGAGAAAAGCGCACGTGCACGCAGATGCATGCATGTGAATGGTGACATACCATCCTGTAGGAGTCTTTTATGTCTATCTATGTTGTAAATCCCATGTTGTTTGGTTGAAAACCAAGGGAGTTATACTCATTTAAAGTTTCAGCCAATCAGATTAGCACACGCGCATGCGCGTGATTTCATGAAAAATTTTATATATCATATTGTAGTACATGTACATCCTAATACATGTCTATGTTAGAAATTTCAAAGCATTTCATCATAAAACAAAAAAGATATTGAGATTTCTGTTTCAGCCAATCAGAGCAAAGCGCACGTGCATGCGCGTGAGTTCATGCAAATTTGACCATGTCATCTTATCTACACAACTTATATATCTTTATATAATGAGTTTCAAAACATTTTAGCAAAAAATATAAAAGTTACAACCATATTAAATATATCAGTCATTTTACTCATTGCACGCGCCCGCACGTGCATGCGAATGCGCGCAAAATGACCTTCGTTCGGCACATCTACACAACATGCCTACTAACCCTAAAAAGGTTTTAACTTAGTTTGGTGAACAGTTTCTGAGAACACTTCCGGACAAAAAAGTACCGGAGAAGAAATAAGAAGAAAAAAGAATAATAATAATAATAACTAGTGCTAATTGTAACGGGGACCGTTACAGATGTTCCCCAAACGCTCCCCGACTCCCTTTTGGTGCCATATTCCCTGTAAGCTTCATTAAATAGGACAAAATCTATGCATTTTTGACTTTAACAACGCCAATTTCATTCAAATTTTAGCATTGCAGGCGTGCGCATGTGAATGCATGTGCGTAATGACCATATCATCTTGTCTACACTATCTATATATTTTGATATACTAAATACATGTATTAAAGTATTTAATCCAAAAGTATTTTAAAAAAACCGCTCATTCAAGTGTATTTTTAATTTTACCCATTTCACGTGCACGCACGTGCATACATGAGCATGGTGACCATACCTTCTTGTAGATGTCCGTTACATCTATCTATGTTCTAAATCCCACACCATTTGGTTGAAAACCAAGGGAGTTATAGCTGTTTAAAGTTTCAGCCAATCAGATTGCAGCGCACGTACATGTACATGTATGCATGTGCATGGTGACCATATTTTCTTGCAGTAGACCAGTATATCTATCTATGTTCCAAATCCCATCCTGTTTGGTTGAAAATCAAAGGAGTTATAGCTATTCAAATTTTAAGCCAATCAGATTGCAGCGCACGTGCATGCACGTGTTTTCATGATAATTGCTATATATCATGTTGTAGGATATTTTAATGCATGGCTATTTTTAAATTTTCAAAGAATTTCGTCAAAAAACAAGAAAGATATTGAGACTTTACTTTCAGCCAATCAGAGCAAAGCGCACGTGCATGCGCGTGAGATCTTGCTATTTTGACCATGTCACATTGTCTATGCTACTAATATATCCTTATATTATAAGTTTCAAAGCATTTCATCAAAAATTTAAAAAGTTATGCCTATATCAATTAAATCGGTCATTTCACATGTTGCACGTGCACGCTCTTGCAAGCACGTGCGTGCAAAATGACCTTCGTTCCGCAAATCTACATAACATGTCTACTGACCCTAAAAACATTTCACCTTAGTCGGATGTATAGTTTACAGATCATTCCCGGACAAAAAAGTACCCAGGAAGAAGAAGAAGAAGAAGAAAAATAATAATAATAAGAAACAGAGTAAAAACAATATGTTCCCCAACTTCGTTTGTGGAACATAACTAGTGCTAATTGTAACGGGAACCGTTATGTTCCCCAAACGCTCCCCAACTCCCTTTTGGTGCCATATTCCCTGTAAGCCTTATTAAATAAGACAACATCTGTGCATTTTTAACTTTAACAACGTTTTACC